AGGAAACTGGGCAGGTCACGTTGGGTTTGAATGTCTGAAACAGGGTTTAGGCACCAAATTCAGAACTCTGAAGCTGAAAGTAATAAATCCCAGAGAAGCTAAAGCAGGTAGACTTGGGTGTTTCTCCTCCAATATCATGTGCTAAGTTTCTGTCAGAGCCCAGGCCTGCCCAACCTTGGTGGCCGCACCCCGTCACGCTTCCCTGGTGCCTGGCCATCACCCAGAACCAGAGGTCCAGCCGACACCAACCCCTCCAGGGGTGCACCTGAGCACCCGCCAGCCAGGCCTGGCAGTGGGCTTGGGCATGGTACAGTGTGCAGCTGTAGCCAGCTTTTTATTTTAAACAGAGACAGCTAGTGCGCCCCCCTTTTTCTATAGAATATCTCCCAGGTCAAGAAGCAACCCAAGAGCTGCAGGGCTACCCCCTTTACTCCTCAGGTCAGGAACTCACAGCTCTGCCTGTTCTGCATTACTCCTGTGGAGCACACAGTACCAGTGCCTCAACATCTTCCCAACCCTTCAGTACCTGCAGCGTTAGGGACCTGCAGAGATTAATTTTCACCAACTAAGGACCAGCTCTGCCAATTTCTGCTGAAGTTCAAAAACACTCTTGATTGTAATTACAGTTATTAGTGATTGCAGGATTCAAATCCAACACTGAACCTGTTTCATGGGTCTCGCCCTGCCCACATTTATGCCTTTGGCTTTCAACTCATGGTTTGCAGACCCCTTTAGCTCTATCAACCACTTCCTAAAAAGTGACAACTGCAAGAAACCAGGTTCTCAACAGATTTAATTTTGTCACCTGAGGCTTTGCACCTTCAACAGAAGACATTTAGGAATTTACAAATTAAAAAAATAAAGTAAAATAAAACTAAAATAAAATAAAATAAAATAAAATCACTGCTTTATGCAATAATTCCACAGCCTCTTAAGATGATACCCATGAATCAGATTACTTGTGTAAATGTTTGACAGGGCAATGTCCAAATGATTCTTAATGCTGTAACATGTATTTCCAGTCAATTTTTGCTCCCCTTTCCAAACTGTGTTTGCTGTGCTGCACAGACTTTCCTCCTCAGCCTAATCTCTGTGTAAAATCACTGCTTTATGCAATAATTCCACAGCCTCTTAAGATGATACCCATGAATCAGATTACTTGTGTAAATGTTTGACAGGGCAATGTCCAAATGATTCTTAATGCTGTAACATGTATTTCCAGTCAATTTTTGCTCCCCTTTCCAAACTGTGTTTGCTGTGCTGCACAGACTTTCCTCCTCAGCCTAATCTCTGTGTAACTTAGCTCCTGGCAACTTTTTTGCTTACTTTTCCTCTGTTTCCCAGCTCTTTGAAGATCTGTGTTTTTTGGACTGCCACTTCTGGAAAAGATGTTTCTCTGACAAGCGTTAGGCAGTGCACACAGGGGAAATTTTACCCTTTAGCCGAACAGGACTAAGCACAGTCAGATTTGTCTGCTTGACTTTTACGCCACAGATTAAAAATAACTTTCAGGAATTGGAAGGACTCTGTTCCTCAGGCAGGGCAGAGCCAGTGTTTGAAGACGGTTCTGTGAATGAAACCACAGCTGGGAGAGCTCCGTTGGGGTTTTTTTTATTATTATTTTTTTTTTGTCTCCCGGAGTTATTCATCTCCCAAGCGAGCAGAACCCCCTGGCCACTGGAATGCAAGTGCTGGCAGCTCTGCCCCGATGCCCGAGTCACTCGTCCCCTCACGCACACTCCCCGTGCGGCAGCAGAAAGGAGTAAGCACAGCCACTGTCTCTGGTAGGAAATCTCCTAATGCACTGTGATATTGCTTTTCCTTTTCAGTTGTCTGGTCTGGGTCAATGGTTTTAGTAACAAGCAAAGAAGCTGACTTTAACTTCTGGCCTGGGGTCTGTTTTAAGCCTCCAGGATTGGTAGTTAAAGTGTACATTTACATTTTAAACACATGCACTCCAGCATTTTGCCACTACAAATATGTTTGTAGATGTTCTTAAGAACAGCATGTGATCAGCAGCAGAAGACAGTGAAGGTCTGGTCATTGAGTGAGAACCTATACATCCATAAATGCAAAACCAGGAAAAAGGCTACTAACTAACTACAGGTTTAGTGTTACAAAAGGCCAGACATAGAAATTGTTTATTGCAGTGTTTTCTGATATTGTTAACACGCAGTGCTGGGCTGCATTTAGCATGTGAAAAATGCAATGGATCCAACCAGTGTGCCTGACTGAAATGTGGCAGGTAAAGTGCCACTGAGTCTGAAATTCTGTCCCTAGATGTGCCAGCAATGTGCTATCTGATCTGTGCTCACTCCCTTCACCAGTGTGCCCCTTTGTCTCCTCAGCTGTGAAACGGAGATATGAGTCAAGGAATATCTTTGGGAAGGGAAAAGTATTGTAAAACTGCAACATTTCTTGCACAGTGTTTTCTTCTTGAGTCTGGGAATGGGAAAATGAACATAAATGTGCATCCACAGAGACTGTAACATAAAGCCGGAGAAATTCTGGAGGTGAAGTCCTCTTTGTAACTTTGGTCTGTACAGTTTCCTTTGGTTCATATAGAAATAGAGAGTTCAGCATTTATTCATATGATTTTTAAAAGGTAAGAATTTATCTGACAAGGGTAAATATCCATGTAATAATCCTGTGTGAGACAGAGGTTCTAGTTGTGTGACAAGTAAGAATTAAACACAGATACACTGAAAGCCAAAAACTGCTGTATCAGAATTGCAACTCCTAATTATCAAAGGAGTGATCATACAGAGACGCTCGCCTCTGTCAGACCCCAATGAAAGGGACAAATCTTCAAAACTTTTAAATCTATGACAAGACTGATCTTATAACAAGTGATTCAAACACTGAGCATTTCCCTTAAAAGTTTGTTTGTTTTGAAGCAGTGATAGGAAAGCCCTGATATGCTGCCTCCATTTCTAACAGTGATCACTTCCTCATCACCATCCCTTAGAAGTTCAAAAGCTGCAGTTCAAGAAGCTATTTTCTTCTGGCTTTGTAATTTTGACAGATGCTGGACATCCACTGTACACCCAGAGGCCCCTGCACTCCTTACCGTTCAAAGGGAGACAGAAGGGCCAAGTGTTGGCATATAAAGGGACATTATGCTCGCCCAGAATTTTCCCAGTCTGCAACAGTTTCCCCTCTTAATGCTATTACAAAGAACAAACACAAACCCAACAAGTCACACTGGTTTATCTAATTTGAGGAAAACTCTAATGAGTTCTGTTGTGTTTTGTTTGCAGAACAGAGTGTTCTGGCAGGCCCTGCATGATAGAGAGGACCCGCAAGCAGACGGCGTGGTCCTGTTTACCCTGAAGGAGCAAGTGTGTGTGCTGGAAAGCGCTGACCACTCTAATGGATCGCATGGAGCTGCAAAAAGTCAACATCGAACCTGACGATCAGAGCAACAGTGGGGAAAGCCTCGAAGACAACTACACAGAGCTGGTTGATTCAGAAAAGGCTGCAATTAGGAGGTAAGCATTTAAATGGGATGGCTGTTCCGTTAAGGCTAGAAAGCAGTAATCAAAAAACAAGCTTCACTAATGGCATCTGGGACTCAAAAACATTTCCTAGGTAATACATTGAAATGAGTGGCACAGCGCCCACCTTCCCTGCCCTGTGCTGGGGACAACGGTGTGCCCAGCACAGCCGGGGCAGCCCGGGTCCCCGCTGACAGCCTGGAGTGACCTCTGCAGGCTCACAACCCCCAGCCCCCTCCTGGCAATTTCCAACAACTCCAGTCAAATAGTACACGTGTAAATTAATACCCTTTCAGGGCAATGCAACCTGAGCACACCAAGGGGAGGAAGGCTTTCCAGGGCATGGTACGGAGGGCAGCAGCTCTGTGGTCTCACGGGGACAGCCCACACTCGGGCATTTCGAGCAGGATCCAGCATAGCACCAGCACCTGCGTGGGCTGAGAAAGACACCTCAAAACCAGCCATCAGCCTCTGGCCCTCATCTTGCTGAATCCCCTGGCAGGTATCTCCAACAGGGCAGTCGCAAGGTGCTTTGTTCCTCAGATGTGACATAAGTGCTCAGCTTTAGCACATTGCTGGCAGTAAGGAATTATTACTTTCCAATGTCTATAATCATATATAATTTGAAGATTACTGGTTTTAAAACTAAATTCCAAGGCAAAACAAAGATCTGTTAAACATGTCATTGGACATAAGAATCTTACAGGAGAAAAGAGGGGGTATTCTGAAATATTTTTAAATATTCATGGCAATTTCAAAGGAAAGTTTCCACTAATGACAAAAGGCACTGCTTGAAAATAATGTGTATCATAAGCCTTATCTAATATCTTCTTGTTTTCCTTTGTGTTCAGTCCATTTGCTAGTGATGATGCAGAAAGTCAGAAGTTCCTTACAAATGGATACCTGGGTAAAAAGAAATTGGAAGAATATAATGAAGAATATGTAAGTTTTATTAGTTTTAAGGGTAATTACAAAGTAAAACTTATTGACCTGAATCTTTTTTCCAAAAGTTGCAGTAAGCAAAGTTGCTCTGGAGCTCAATCAGCATAATCTTGGTTTTGAAAGAATAAACACATTTTCTAACAGTTAGTTATTAGGATTATCCAATTAAAACAAAAAAAAATATTATTTGTGATTGCAAGCTAAAATTAAAAGCCATATACCTTCCCTTCCCTTTCCATTTTGTGGCAGGTGTGACTCCCTCACACATCATCACCCCTGTCCTGGTTTTTTGTCCTCTCCCACTCTCCTGTCTCCGTCCCAAGCTACACAACGCTTCCTTCTTTTCTCCCCCAGACACACTTTTAGTTCCCTAAAGAAAGAAGCAAATCCTACTTGGAAAAAAAATTCAATGATCGATCAGTTGGATTAATTTTTAAAAAATATCTGAATTTTTTAAATCAATAATTGAAGAATCTATTTGATAACAGCATATATTTCTATAGAGGCTGGTCAACACGGGCGGTTGTGGCTACGTCACCTCAGTTGCCTGTTGTGGATGTAGTCCTCCTTCCCATGGAGACAAGAGGAGAGTGGGAAGAGGCAAGGGCCTACAAGCACAGCTGGCTTTTGGGGTAAAAGAGGCTTCTTATGGTACCTGTGGGCTCAGGAACCTTGACAAGGTTCCACCTCTAAGGATCAAGAGAGCAATACAGGGAACACCAGCAATGAGGATAATTAGTCTGTTGTGCTTGGTATAGTGCAAATTAATTGCCATTTTCTATTCTTGCTCCCAACAGCACCTGGGAAGAGCTTCCTTTGGAATGTCCGCATTCAACCTCAGCAATGCCATTATGGGCAGTGGCATCTTAGGGCTCTCCTATGCCATGGCCAACACAGGAATTATCCTTTTCATGTAAGTACATGGAAAGAAAACCAAATAGAATACAAGGGGTGAGCTGGAGTTAAAGTTTTTGTGGTTAGAGAGGTACATTAAGCTTGTTTTCTTAGCTGAAAAGTTTCGTAAGATCAGCTGTAATGAAAACATTTTAGCTGCACTGCAAGGAACCATCCACTGCTGACAAACTTTTTTTTTTTTTTTTTGGTTTAGCTCTGGTTTGTATCAGGAACACAACTGTAAATTGATACTGTGCAGTCAAAAACCAGAGGGGAAGAACAGTATACTGATCCTAAAATAACAACAGCAGTCTTGCTGGTTCGGTATGGGAATTCAACAAAGAAAATAAATGACCCATAAAGTATATATTTACATCATCCCAACTACCTAATCACTGTGTAGAAATGGAAGAAGAATATTCTATGTAAGTCCGAAATAGCAGTATGCTTTGAATGCAAAGGCATTCACAGACTTACTCAGATTTAAAGTTGCTCCCTCAAGTCTATTTGTATTCAATGTGCACAGATTACATCAATGGTATGTGGCTGACACACAGTATCTATATGAAATGAGTTTTGATAGACAGTAACAGATAGCCATGTGAAGATTTTTAATCTATGGCTAACCTTGTAAAATGAGAGAGACTGTACAAAAAAAAAATAGTTGTTTTTCTTGTTTTAATAACTAGTTTCAATCTTAACCGAACCCTTAATTTTAGTCCCCCAAGAGGCTGGAATAAAGCATGGCAGTACTGTATGACAGTGGGCCATTGTTTCACATTACTGAAATCTAAAAAGCCTGTACATCAGGTTGCATGGCTATCTTTATACAGCTTTTTTCTTCTGGAGATTGTGTAACTACCAACAGCAACAGCATTTGAAATGCTACATGTAGCTTTCAGTTGCTAAGAAACACCTCCTGTTTTGCCAGTAGTATTTTTGACTGAAAATTAATTGCAGATGCAAATGCTGTCCTGGATAAATAATTCCCAGCACCTGCACTCAAATGTTTTATTTACAATATTTGCAGATACAAAAATGGAAGCTGATTCTAAAATTGACTGAATTGGAGTCTGAAAAGTGTAGGATTTTTTTTTCTTCAGCTTTCTCTGAGTGCTTGTACAAACTAATACAGCCATAAATTATCACTGGAAAGAAAACTGTGATACATCAAGCCTCACTAGGGGGGAAAAAATGTTACCTTTTTAATATCTTTAAGGCTCTGTTCATTCACACAGGTGGCTAAAAAAATCCAGTATGAGCCTAATGCCATTAGCTCTGTTGGCAGTGCTAAAGCAAGGGGTAATGCTAAAGCAACCCCGTGGAGTCTCATACAGCAAAAACAAAGGACGTCTCCACCCCACAGCTCATTTTCTTTTCTACCATACTTCCATACTTTCTGCATGAGAACATTCTCCCTTCTGGTAGAGGAAGGAGTTTCATTTAAAAGTACAAAACTGTGTGGGGATATTGTTACCCCAATGGCATGCATCCACTTGCCAAAGGTTCTTCTGTTTTCACAGATCATGATGTTAGCATTAGCAGGACAGAAAAATACCATGTACTAAATGGAAACTGCTAGACATTAATTCTAATTTAGATGACGCTGGCAGCGTCTAAACTTTTGTCATTTACAGTTCTCATGTTGCCCAAGTGCTCTCGTGCTGAAAGATGTTCTACAGGGTGAAGGTGGAAGGAGGGCTCCTAAAACTTAGAGGGTCTCCAGAAGTTCCCATTACATCCTCCTCTCTCATGTGGGAGGTTTGCAGTGGCACAGAGCACACACTAGATCATCTCTTCTGCTGCCTGGCATGATCTAGCAAGTGCAACCAGGATGGCTTTGGTTTACCACACCTCATGTGTCAGGACATGGAGACCATGTCTCTGAACACCAGCTGCATGGGTGCCCCTGATCAAGATGGATACCATCTTGAAAGGATACACAGCAAGCTCAGACAAGATATCCCCTTACCATGTTGTATGGGCCCACAGCATAAGAGATGACATTGCTTACATGAGGTCTTTAGTGTTGTCTGTCCCTCTTGGAGAAATAAATTTGAGACAAAAGTGACAGTCTGGTGGCCATCACCTTGGGCCCATGGCCTATGTCTCCTCTCAGACTGTAACTCATTTATGAACTTGGCTGTCAGTGTCTCCCATAGCTATACCAAGCCACGTGTTCAGCGGAGGCAAAGGTGTGGGCACAACCTCCTGTTCAGCCATGGAGAAAGGCACATTGGTATTTCCTAGCTCTGTCATGTTATTATCACGTACTCTTCTGCACCAACCCTTGTGCAGGCTGTTGACAAGATGGCTATGGTAATAAGGTATACTGCCCATGGTGTTGTGCCCTGAAAATGTCATACGAAGCTACATTTTTCACCAGCAGTTTGCAGAAGGCAGATAGCTGAAATCACACAGGATGCAAATGTTGTGCAGAAGGAACATGGCAGTAATCAGAATGAAAGAATTCAGGCACCAGTACCTTCAAGCAGACTAGGCTAGAAGAGTATTCTGCAAGTGCTCCAAGAGCAGATTTTCCAGGGTCATGCTGCACTTCAGCATTATGCAAGATTTCTAACGCACTTTGCAAAGTGAGAATCTCAAGCTAAACTCCACAACTTCACAATGACATGCCAGAAGTCAAAAGCAGTGACTAGCCAGGAGCTGGCAGTGAAGTTGTCACTATCATGGGTTGGGGGGTTTTTTTGATAGCTCTGAGAAAGGAGAGAGATTAAAATGAGACATCAGTGAGCAGGCAAGAGACCAAAAACCTGACTCGCATAGGAATCTCTTTGCTTTAGTAGGTTCTTGTTAAGACAGAAGATTCTATCCTTGTGGAATAACACAAAATTGCAACCTACCTGGACTTAAACAAGCCTTTATGGGTTTCTGGAGCGTACAAGGTGCAACTGCACTCACAAGTAAGGTGCAGTTGACACTTATCTCTGCATTTAGCACTGCGAGTCCCAAGCACAAACTTACTGAAAAATATTTACACGTTGAACTCCATGAGAATGAGCAAGCATACAGTCAAGTTAATTGAGTGTCTCTGATGTCCTGCTTGGGATTCTGACTTCTGTTTTGCCTTGCAGAGTTCTGCTGCTCAGCGTAGCAATATTGTCGCTTTACTCAGTCCACCTCTTGCTGAAGATATCAAAAGAAGGAGGTATGAGGATCAGGCTGTGACTGACAGAGTCCCTACTGCATGCATGTATTTTACCTTGGAATGTAATTCATCAGGTGTGTCCAATGCAGTGGCCCATAGTTTTTGTTTTGTTTTGGTTTCGTTTTTTCAGGATCACTAATATATGAAAAACTAGGAGAAAAGGCATTTGGCTGGCCTGGGAAGTGTGGTGTTTTCGTTTCGGTCACAATGCAGAACATTGGAGGTAAGGGGCAGAAGTTTTTAGAAAAATGTTTACTAACTTCTGATGCTTTTCTACAGAACATAAGTGTTTTCTCTCCTCTGTTATCTAAGGCATCAGAGTACAGAGGCATCAGTACAGTATTAACTATATTGTAATAAGGAAGGGCAGGAGGAATTCATCTTGCCTTGTTTCAGGTACCTGACAATTCAGTGTCTGGTGAAAGCTAGTTGCCTGGGATGTCTCCATGACCAGTGACGGTTAAAATGCCTTCAGTGATGATTAAAATGGCTTGGCTGACTGTCCTCAAGGAGTTGGGCGTTTCTCTTCATTAAGCAGAGCTTAGATTAGATATCATCTTCTTCAATTTAGAAAAGATGAATCCCACCTAAAAAGAAATGCAAATGGTTCTGACTTCTCCTTAACAAAAAGGCTCTTTAGTAGTTCATTTGCCAAGCGAATTCTCTCCTTGTAATTACAGTTGGGTTGTGATCCAAGATGTTGAGTGTTTAAGAGTGATTGTTGAAAGGATTGATCCACACAGATACTTCCTGTGAAATATCTATCAAGTAACCTCTATCCTCTCAGAACAAAAGACTGTTTACTTAACAACTTAAGCAGTAGGGATAGGACTGTGCCTTCATGCAACAAAGTTTATTTCCTTCTACTACCCTGGGAGAAGCCTTTTAGGAGATTGGAGAACACCATATGTGACAGCTCAGGGGAGTTTGCAATTCTTTCTAGATTTCTTAAGGAGAGCTATTTTAAATATAAATTAAATGCATCATTGGTCTATAAAATGTATGTAGACTTTTTTGTCACCTCTTTCTTGGAACCTGGTATGTTTTGCAAATCTCCATCGACAACTTTGCTACCCAGGCAGAGGTGATTCACATCTCGCTACTGCAAGAGACTTTTTGATTTTGATCCTGTTCCATTGTCTTCCTTTCCTTCCTCAAGCCTGGATATCAAATGTGGTTTAATTCAGGAAGGAAATATGCTTCTGTATTAGAGAAGAATAACTGTTCCTCTAGACCAGTGGTTTTCAACCTCTTGTCTAGATTGATCCACAGGTCTCCAGAGAACTCTCTGTGGCCAACATAAAATAACAGAAAAAAAGCATGACTTCTGGCAGTGCATTTAAATGAGATGTATAGAAGTCCACCTTTCCATCAGGAATCTTGATAACTTGATATCTTGATATCTCTTTTATATGTATGGAGTAGAGTAATGGAATAAAGAAGCTGAAAATAGAAGCAATTAGGCAGATGAAGAGATTTAGAGGCAGTAACAACAAAGTTACTACAGAATGTGGATGGCCAGTGTCTGTTGGAAAGCCAATATTTATAACAGAAAAGCAAAAAGAAAAGTTAAGAGTGTAAATTTCATCAGAATAATTATTTGAGCCATGTTGTTAATTCAGTAATAACTGTATTGTATTTAATACTGAATGTCAGATGTCATTCAGGACATGCCCATAACAATATCAAAGGAACATAACATCTATTTAGTCACACTATTATTTGAACAAAACTCATTTCTCCAGTTTAGCAAAAACTAGTTTCCCAAAACAATATGTTTTTCATGCAGCATTAATGTTTTTTAAAAAAACTTATTTCTGTTGGAAGTACACTGTTTTCTCTGAAAGTGTTTGTTTTTTTCAGCAATGTCAAGCTACCTCTTTATTATTAAATATGAACTTCCTGAAGTGATCAGAGCATTTATGAAACTTGAGGAGAGTTCTGGGTAGGTACCTCTGCCCAGCCTGAACCTCAGATGACCTTTCTTCACTTTTACGTCAATGATAATGATTGTGATTTTCTATTCCTCCTCTTTAGAGAATGGTACCTAAATGGGAACTACCTTGTCATACTCGTAACAGTTGGGATTATTCTTCCCCTCTCCCTTCTAAAGAGTTTAGGTAAGATTAATGCTCCACTTAATGTCATTTCTTATTTCTATTAGGATTGTGAATTTATATGTAGCTGAACCAAGTATTTTCTTTCTTGCTTCACAGGTTATCTTGGTTATACGAGTGGTTTTTCGCTGACCTGTATGGTTTTCTTTGTCAGCGTGGTAGGTGACTGGGTACTGTCTCTAAGCAAATACAGAGCCTGTAAACTGTGCAATGCTGTTATATTTCTTACCATGACAATTAAATGTGGATGTTAGAACAGCACCTGCAAGTGAATCAAACCAACAAGCCTGTTGCTGGGAAAAAAAAAATCAGCCTAAAAAACAGCACTTGAGAATAAAAAATAAAGCAGGACAACAGCAGAGGCAGAGCAACAATGAATACTTGCAGGAGAAGCAGAAGTGGTATCACTTGGTTTCTTGCTGCTTCTTTCCCCTTTCTTGTCTGTGCCTGTTTATATTTGTGTTGGCGTATCATGGGTGTAAGTGTAATCTCCTATGGGTGCACTTTTCTGATTACATTGTCTACTCTTTTGTAGGTAATCTTCAAGAAATCCCAAATACCCTGTCCTCTCCCCATCATGGACCATGGGGCTGAAAACTGGACCACTGCCAACAACACAGTGCCAATGCACCTGGTCATATTACCAAATGAGTCTCTCAGTTCTGGTGTGAATTTCATGATGGACAATACAGCTGGGCACTTGCCAGGCCTTGAGGAGTCAAAAGATACCTCCCCCAAAAGTGGTGTAGAATATGAAGCACACAGCGACAGTGGTGACGTGTGTCAAGCAAAATACTTTGTGTTCAACTCACGGGTAAGGGAGATTCTGTAGAATTTGTCTTTAGCCATTCATACCACAGCTAAACTGCTGCCTGCCAAAAGTCAGAGTCACATCAGTGACCATTCTTACTAATGGGAGCTTTATTTTACAGACTGCCTATGCAATACCCATCCTGGCATTTGCATTCGTATGCCACCCTGAGGTGCTACCAATATACAGTGAACTGAAAGAGTAAGGTTCTTAAATTTTGTCCCATACTTCCAGTTAACCATAGCTAGAAATCACTTTCTGTGTCTTCTGCCTTGATTGGTGGTGTCGACATCCACTCTAATGATTTATCGCATTCCATTGTAAGCAGATAGTGCCTTTGCTTTGACCTAATAGTCAGATACTGGTGACAGAGAACCACTGTTCAGATAGCTGCATTGATTGATATTTATTTAGGAAAGGGGGAATCTGGACAGTCTTTCAAATGAGGTGAAATATATTGGGGAACTTGGTTGCACTGAAGCAGATAATTCTGGTTTCTAAAAATATCTTAATGAGTTCTGTGTCTGGGTCATCTGCTGCTTAAAGTTTCTTGGGATGCCATTGGTTTGGGCTCAGCCTAGACTATTTTGCTTATCAAATATCAAAAATCAAATACACTTGTTTATATCAGCACAGAGTTGAGATCTGAGAAGGGCTAAGAATTACATTACAGGAAGTTTTGCTGGAAAACTCAAGGAAGCCAAGACCCATTACCTCCTATTTCAGCACGTTTAGCTTCAGATGAATTAAAAATTCTCAGACAACTTGGGAACCAGCTTCCAGGTCCTATATGCTGAAGATTTTCTTACATCAAATCTTTAACCAAAGGATTTCCAAAGAAAGACTTTAACCTGCATGAGGTTCTTGAACCTGCAGAACAGCCCTATGTAGATACAAGGGTATGTTCATATAGAGCTGACTGAAAGCTCTTGTCTACTATTATTACCAGACCCATAATTTTAGCCACTCATTTTTAAATTTAAAATACACCATTTAAGATTCATAGTAAATAAATAATGATATACAAAATAACATGACACATTTATATGTTGTAGTAAGCAGTAAGCAGTAGAAATGGAGTTTCAACACACTTCTATGTCTGTGGTGTTCTGCATGGAGCTGCAAAGCTTCAAGAGTTCTGTATAACTAATATAGTTGCTATGAACTTACTAGCTAGTGAAGGAATGTCAGCAGAGCTATGACTCTTCAGAGCACTTCTTGTACAAATAGAAGCTTTATAAGAATAGCACTGTTACTCTTTTTTTCCTACTTCAGTCGTTCCCGAAAGCGGATGCAGAATGTCTCAAATATCTCCATCACTGGCATGCTTATCATGTATCTTCTGGCTGCCCTCTTTGGATATCTTACCTTCTATGGTAGGTCAAAGCCCTTCTCTCCGCAGAATTGTCCCTCTAATTTTAAAGCAGGCAAGATGGATTTATCACACTGAGGCTCAAGTGCTCGTGTATTTTCTGTGGGCCTGAATTCAGGTGTAAGCATTATTCAAACATAATACGTGGTGTGTAGCCTCCTGAAAAAGCAGTGGGACTTATCCACCTGCCAGGCAACAAGTTCTTGACCTGTGAGAGACCCAGGGGCACCTACTAGGGGGACCAGTTGTGCATCTCTTGGTTTTGTGAACTCAGACAACAAGCTGCTGTAAACTTGGCTCTTGGCAAAGGCCAAGAGTGACCGTACTAAAAATACTCTAGTGTTCAACAGTTTTACATGACACTATTAAGTGTTACCCACCCTGTCTCTGATGCCACCAACACAGCTTCACCTATGCTGAAAAACAGGTGCAAATCAAGCTAGTGTAAAAAAAAATATGGATGAACTAGACTAACCGGTAGGTAAACAGAGTAGCCCCTGTATTAGCACACAGTTTTATGCAAACACCACCTCTTTTTACCTCATTAGTTCCTCTGTTACAGCAGAGAAGTGAAGGACACAGCACAACCTGCTCTCTGTCGCTGGGGCAAGAGGGCTCCAAGAGCTGGGACACCTGCGTGGAGGTCGAGGGATCTGTTCCCAGTTCAGTCAGTTGTTTCCTATTCCGTATCAGAGAAATTATTTTTACCTTGGGTTCCACATCCACTTAATGACTTTGAGAAAATAAATTGAGATACTGGAATACAAAGCACCACCTCCGAGCTGTATTACCCTCATCATCCCTGAGTGATGGGCTTGTATTGGTCATGCTGGGAAAATTCCTCTTTGGTGCCTGGCCCATAACATGTATCTGATGACAGCAGTTGGGCCAGAGCTAATCTTATCTGGCTGCAGTATAAAGATTCTTTGGCATGTGCAGATATTGCTTAAGTGATTTAACTCCTTTCTGTTTCCTTTTCGTAGGAGAAGTTGAAGACGAGCTGCTCCATACATACACCAAAGTGTACACCTTCGACACCCTTTTGCTGTCAGTTCGCCTGGCGGTGCTGGTGGCTGTAACCCTCACCGTGCCCCTTGTCCTTTTCCCGGTAAGTAACACAGCTGCTGAAGCCGAAGTTGGGCCTAGTCTGTAGTCACCGACTATGTGTACTTAGCACAGACTTTAACACTGAAGAAAAGTAAGCCTGCATTTTCCTTTGGGAGGATCTGTTTTCTCATGTGCAGTTTGACCAGAGCAAGGACCTGAGGTAGTTCAGGTTGCAAACTTTGAAAGACTGAAATAAATCGGTCTTTATAAATAAAACAGAAATAAATCAGGAACAACTGCCCTGTGGCTGGCTGTCTCTGTACTATATTTAACAGAGCAGCAGTGTAAGTTCTGAAGACTTGGGGATGTACTGAAACCACTTATGAGATTTCCTAATGCAGACACAGGCACCTACGGCAGCATCCAGGCTGGAGACAGACACGGGCAGTGCAGGCCGCGCTGTGCAGCACTGCCAGGCCCCGCTGCCCAGGCGGGGAGGCAGGGGCCCTGCGCACGTCTGACAGGCTGGAGTCTATGGACAGGGGAGGAAGCTAAGATGAGGAAAACAGACACAGTCAAAACCCAGCCACATAGCCAGACGTCTGAGCAAAGTTTGGAGCTTCTAGGTGCTGTTCACAGGGAAAAATGCAATACCCACAGTAACAGGGACAGAAAGGCACAGCTAAACAAACCACTCTGCAGAGGGACTGACCCTCCACAGGGACAAATCCCCACCTGGAGAACAGCCCTCTAGGCTCCTGAATGTACAATACTGTCCCTCGTGCCTTCCTCAAGCTGCTGTGCAGCAGGGGAGAAAGAAGTTGATCCTGGTCAGTAAGTTTTGGGAGGCTGGTGTGCCATTTGTATGGCACGTACAAGCCCAGCATCACGCTGCCGGTGGCTTCCCAGCAATCTGCGTCACACCACAGTGTTCCCGTTTGACGAGAGCAGTAATCCTGGGGTCCTGTTGCTGCGTTGTCCAGGATGCAAACACGATCTCTGCATAGGTACTGATCCCAGGCTTGCTGACAAATACCTAAGAGCAGGGATCACCATTCAAGGTTATCTAAAAAAAAAATGTTCTGGTATTAAACCAGTGTCTAAATGCTTAAATCAGTCTTAACTAACTGATCACTCTTCATGGGAAAACAAGCTAAGGGCGTTGCAAAAGCCTCTATCTGTCAGATATAGCATTTTGCATTTTTATATTTCTGTATAATCATTTTTTATACCTGAAAAGTGTGCAAAAGCTTAACAGTTACAAACCAGCACTAATAGCTCTATTAAAGAATTCCCAGGAAAATATAATTTGCTTGTAAACCAGCATATCAAATAATTTTATATGGTCTGTCAGGACAGCCAGCTCAGCAGATATGATCACTCCAAATAAGCAATATAGTTGTGTCAACTACTTTTATATGAGCTAACACATTTGTATTTTCTTAAAGTAGCCAAAGTTTATTCTTTTCAAAAAAAAAAAAAAAAAAAAAAAGAGAGAGATCATTAAATTGCTTAAAAAAAAAAAAATTCAGTCTGTGTACCATTAGTCAGTGTAGAACTTCATTTTGATAGCTTCATATCAAGGACTATGTCACTTTTTTTTTTAATGCACAAGATGATGACAATAAGTGAACAGGAATTCAGGCAGCAGTTCTTTGGTGGAATAAAGCCGTTTTATACCAACTCAGGGACGGGACAAAATTTTTGCAATCTGCCTCCCTCATCATGATACTGGCTCACATCAACCTGAAAGTCATAAAATGCAAAAATCATTCTGTGTTATTAAATAATGGGCAAAACTCCATACATTTATTGAATTGCCAAAATGATCCAGAAACAGTTGCTTGTTATTTTAAAACAACCAAACAGAAGTGGGTTTTGAGCTTTTTCAGTGTAAAAACATTTTTGTTCAACTTCTGCATTTCAAATCTTTTAAGTTAGTCACAGCACTTCAGAGTAACACTGTCTCCTGCCACCAAAGGGATATGCTGTTGACCTTTTTCCTACTTACCATCTTTGCTGATGAAAAAGCAAAAATCTCTTTGTGTGTTTTGTGAGAAAGTCAGCAGAGAAAAAGGATCTTATGCAATAATTTTTAGGATCATAATTTCCAAGTAGCATTGAAAAATATGCTTTTGTTTTGACACATATATATGCTTATGTATATATTTAATGGAAGTAAAACAGCAGCTTGCTCTTTCTCTCACAAAAGTAAATGACAAAACTCCTGTGGGATTTTCAGAGGGATCCGGTTCAGGAATACAGCAACTTGTGTTTCACCCATGCATTTTTACCTGCTGATTAGTATTCGACGTGGGGATTTCTTGGAGGGGAGAAGTTGCTGATATTAGCATCTTTCAGTTGAACAGATTTCATGTCCCTGATTTTACACCCTATTTGACTTTCTTCTGCACTGCAAATATTTGAGTTTCTGCATTAAACTATGAGCCCAGTTCTCAAAAACCTGTCTCAGAGTGAGATTACATCACAGGAATCAAAAACTGAAAACACATTTCTTCAGTCAGAATTTCTCACAGCAAAACTAACTAGCATAGATTGTTTAAAAAAGTGAAAAGCAAAGATAAATTGATTGCTGTTTTACCTTCCCTGCTGGTTCTCATCTTACAGATCCGTTCATCTGTCAGTGCTTTGCTGTTTCCCAAAAGGCCGTTCAGCTGGATAAGACACTTCCTGGTTGCAGCAGTAATTCTTGCTTTTAATAACCTGCTTGTAATTTTTGTCCCAACTATTAAAGACATCTTTGGATTTATTGGTAGGTTTCATAAATACTTTTTGTTTATTCTCTTAATCCTTTCCACCACAGTTTTACATTCATGGACTGAATGACAGCCTCAGTTTGGGTTTTTCAGTAGAGTAATATAAACACAGATAAAAGTTAAAAGGGAAATAAAAATTCCCAAACAGCTGACAGACAAAGCTAAGTGCTACCCACTTCGTTGCTACATTGCATGAGGCAAAAAAATCCAATAATCCCAGCATAAAAAGCAGTAAGGAATTCCGGTTTTGACAAAAAGGGCATTTAGTGTATGTGAAGGAGAGAGAAATAACCTTTTGTTTTCAAGCTTCTATAGCCTAGACAAAATGTATTGACTTACAAACTGTGATGTTAGAAAAAGGACAAAAGTGACACATTTCTGTTGATATTCACAGTTTTCTCCCTACTCAGGTAGGCAGATGCCCTTGAGAAAGACACCTCCATGAGGTTTATTCTTTTTTCACGTTTCACACTCCACACAGGCAGCTGTTTTGCTCCTCCCTGCCTTTTACACCTGGGCCACAGTGCTGGGCTCTGTGAGAGGAGAGGAGCAGGCACTTCCAGGGCACAGGCCAGCCACCCTCTTTTCGACACCTGCTTTGCAGGGTCACCCCGCCCTGGGAGTGCCTGTTTGTCCTCGCTGGGCCTGCTCACATGCAAACGTCCCTATCACAAGCAGCCACACCAGTCTGAACAAATCCTCTCAGTTACAAGTGCCCCTTCGGGACCTGAGCACTTAAGTGTTTGGACATCTACAGCTCAGCACAAATGCTGCCTACAGAGAGAGAGAGCCCTTTGTGCAGCTGGGCTTTGAGGAGCAGCTGCCCCTCCACACGCTCTCTTTTACAGGTGCACCATGTTGCTTTTGTGTCAGACAGCACGGTGCTCAGCTCTGCTTTCTCTTCCAGGTGCCTCCTCTGCTACACTGCTGATTTTCATCCTCCCTGGTGCCTTCTACCTGCGGCTTGTCAAGAAGGAGCCCCTGAGGTCTCCCCAGAAGATCGGGGTAAGAGAGCTTGCAGCAATTGCAAAAGAAAGGATGGGAGGGCATGTGCTTTCTGCTGGACACAAATACTCAGACCTTTGACTTACAGCATCTGCCGGTTTCTCATAAATGGTAGAGTCTCACTCAAAATACAGGTCACGCAGTGTGATTCCCCTTAGCATGAAGAGCTGGGCTTCACAAGCCAAAGTCTTTAGCGCCCTGCTGCTACTGATACACAACAGTAAGTGTCTAGGTTAAAGTGTATCTTAAATGACTAGAAAAAGGCATTTATTTGATCCAATCTAAACTCTAATTAACAGCTGTACTTGTCTAAATTACACCAAGACAGTGTATAAGGAGCTGTTGCTTCACACTAGAAGGCCAGCTGTGGATTAACAGGGAGATATGAGGTCAAGGTTAGGAAGGAAGTTGTACTGCAGAGATAATTAAGTAATAGCAAGTTGCCCACCATATACCTACAGGAGACATATATGAAGATCTACCATTTATACACAGCATGTATTTGTACGTCATGCTGGACTGCCACAGCAGTACCTTTCATCCTGAATATCAATAGATATCTGCACATTTAACAATAATTTAACAATATCACCAAGGAGATGTACTTTGAAAATTTAATCAGAAAAGTTATTGATGAAATATATATGCAGACACATAATGTAAACAGATGTACATATATACACCTTTATACATGTTCACAAAAAGCATGGAAGTGGAAGTTCAACTGATACGTACTGCAAGTATAAAAGAAAATATTTTTTATCACAAAATTATTTCAACTATGACTTTTGGAGATGTTATTATAGAGAGGCTGACTATTTGTTCATGTCCCTTTGTTCATTCTTCATGTTCCTGTGTGTCAGGCACATCTAGGATTTCACGCCCTGCACTGAGATCTCATACAATATTGATCTTTGTGTTTCAAAGCAGAATATTGTTAAGTGTGGACAGATCACAGTAAACTAAAGCCCCACTAAAGCAAAGGGTGACTATAAGCATCTGAATCACTTGAATATATACAGAAATGCCTTCAGAGAAGAGAGACAGGCTTACCTGTTTGTCTAATAAGGATGAAAAAGATTAACTCTGAAGCTGTTCTTGATACCAGAGACAATGATCACTCATTGAAAATTGGTCAGTTTTTAAAGAAAAAAAAATGTTCCTCTGTTATATTTTGTATTATTGTTCATA